GGTAGTCGCTCTTAATGCTCAAAGGACGTACAGAACTTCTTTAGTTGGCGATGATTACTCTTATCCTCGCGACCTTAATGTTTGATTGACGGTTGATTTTGTAGGGAGAAATTAGATGCTAGTCGCTCTTAGTGCTCAAAGGGCTAAGGACGTACAGAACTTCTTTATCTGAAAGTGAAAATTCGCCTTATTTTGTCACTTTACAACAGTTAAAAAAAAAAACATCTAAATGAAAACAGAAAAACATAACAGAAAAAAAAATAAACTCCAAAACCCTGGTTAAGCAGTCAGAAGGAACTTTTTCTCCTAATTTTCGTTAAGACGAATTATATTTTTTTACCCGTCAGGAAAGTAGACCAGCAAAAGGCTCACTTTACCTGCTTCAAGTTGCGATCTCTCTTCAGTCATCTTTTCGTCTAATTTCTTTTTTATCTCGTCTACCTCTTCCTCCAAACGAGCCCTTGTGGCTTCAACCTCACTGTCAGCGGCTACCTGAATTTGTTCCTGGAGGGTTTTCACTTCATGTAGCATATCCTCTTTGAGTTTTTCCATTTCTTGCAAATGTTCTGCTTCAAGTTGCCGCTTGACTTCGTCCAGTTGTTCATCAAATTTTTCTAGAGAGTAAGGTTGCATTTCCTGTTTAGCTTTGTCCTCAGCTTTCACAGCATCTAAAGCTTGCGTAAAAGTCTCTTTAAGCTTTGCTATCTCCTCTTCGTTCTCTTTTTCAAGCTGCTCCCGCAAGGCCTCCAGTTGGTTTTCATGTTCTCTTTCCAAATCATCCTTCAAAACATCAAACCTTTCTTGCTCAGACGTATCAAGAATCTGTTCCCTGAGAGCTTCAACTTCTTCACTCATTTTTACTTTGAAGGTTTCCAATTCATTTTGATGCTCGGCAGAAAGTTGTTCCTTCAGAGTGTCAAGTTCCATCTGATGCTTCTTTTCAAGTTCCTCTGCGATAAGCTGCAATTTTGCCTCGTCTGATGCGACAAGGAGTTCTTCCTTTAAGGCTTCAACTTTTTCGGTAAACAGGTCCTTTGTTTCTTTGAACTCTTGGTGATGTTTATCTTCCAACTCTCTCCTTAAAGACACAAGCTCTGCTTCATGTGCAGTTTTTGTATTATCGTATATGTCTTTAAATTGTTCTCTCTCAGTTTCCAGCCGCGCACCTAACTCATCGATTTCTTTTCGACATTTTTCCAACTCCTCTAACAAGTATTTTTCACTTTCGCTATCTTCACTGTCATCCTTAGATAAACTGTTTTCCTTCAAAGATTCGATTTCTTTTTCATAGTGCCGCTTAATGTCTTGAATTTTTGCTTCATATTGTTCGAACAATTCTTCTTCGTTGCTTGCACCTTTAGACATCCACTGTTTAGAGAGTTCTAATTCTTCTTTGAGGTCTTTGAGCTGCGATTCATATTCCTCGCTCAGGTCTTTGACTTGCTTTTCATGTTGTTCCAGAATCTGGTGTATCTTTTCCTCGTAGTCTTGAATAGTAGCTTCCTTCCTGGAACTGTCTTCAACCATCTCCAACTTAGCTTCTTCCACTTTCTGAACTGCTTCCAACGCAAGCTCTGCTCTTACACTGGATACCTCATCTAACAAATCACTGAACTGCCTACGTTTCAAATCGCACACTTGCTTTTCATGGCTATCATTAAGATCTATCAAAAGTTCCTCTTTGCTGCTCAACTCTCGTCGTAAATCTTCCACTTCCTTTTCATGCTTTTCATTTAAGTCCAATTTTAATTGCCGTAATGCCCTTCGATGTTCAATTTCCATTCCTTCAATTTGAGAGGATAATCTCAGAGCAGTTCTCTCGTAATCTTTCTGACCTTCCATTCTCAGTTCCTCCATGTTTTTCTCGTGTGTAGCAATCAGATTAAGTCGCATCTTTTCCAAAGTCTGTGCATTTTTCAAGGCCATTTTGGCGCTCATTTTCGCAAAATCCTTCATCTTCTCCTCTTGGAACTGCCCCCTTAAATCTTCCAGTTCAATCTCATGGCGTGACCTAAGCGAACGAAATTCATCTTCATGTTGTTCTTTCAACTCTTCTCTGCACGCTTCTAATTCTTTTTCCTTAATCTTTTCAAAATCAAGTTTTAAACTTTCCATTTCTTGCTCGTGCTTATCCTGAAGGTCTCTCACAATCTTTTGGAGGCTTTCTTCATATTTTCCACCAAGATCTTTCACTGTACTTTCTAGCTCAGAAAACTGTTTCTCATCCATTTCTGTCTTGACTTTGAGCAATTCAGTTTGAAGTTCACCAATTTCTTTAGCATGCTGCTGTTCCTTGGAGATGTATCTAACAATCGAAGATGAAAAATGATCATTCGACTTAACGAGCTACTAGGATGACAAAAAGACAATGCCATTTCTCGTTGAGTTTTCAACTTTCGCACGTCATATTAAAACAATGAAACACCACGCGTGTTTCCACGCTCGTGTGTCTTTTTAAACAATGAAACACTCCGAGACTCAAAGGGTTACAGCGAAAAACTCACGGGAGAATTAAAACCTTGATTGACTGTTACTTCTGGATTGCCTTTGATTAGCTTTTGAGCAAAAGTATCGAACATAAGGTTACCACCAACTCTGAAAAGCATGCGAGTCTTTTTCTTTCATGCACGCTATCTCTATTTGTGAGACTTTCGTAAATAAATCATAGGCCCCGTTATTTCTAACGGCCTTTCTCATTTTTCGTGGATATTTCAAAATTTCTCTTAGGTTTTGATATCATGATACACCGACCATAACACTACACCTGAACGTATCCTTTTATTATAACTATTTTTTTTTTATGCATATTACCTTCTCTCCATATCTTCCGCAAGTTTTTCGAGTTCCCTCACATGCTCTAACTCCCTCTCCATCTTCTCCTGCTCCAGCCCCGATCTGAGCCTCTCTACCTCCTCGACGTGCTTCTGATCAGCTTCAACTAGCCGCCTCTCGAACTTCGTCTTCAAACTCTCCAGCTCCGACAAGTGTGTCGCCTTCAGCTCACCACGCTGCCGCTCCAGCTGCGCCCGCACGTTCTCTAGCTGTTGCGCATGCTCTTTAGCTGTGTCATCGTACGTTCCTTCTAAGTCCTCTCTCATCCTTGACAACTTTTCGTGTTCGCGTTTGACTTGTTCGTTTATTTCTTGGATCTCTTCCTCGTGAATCTTCTCCAAACGTCGGCTTGCTTCTGTAGCCTGTTCAAGCAGCTGCGCTTGTTCGTTCTTCATAAATTCTACTTCTTCCGCATGTCTTCTTCCCAGATCATCTAAAGCTGCATTTGTAACTTCGGATCTTTCCTTTTCCAGTTCTTCCCGAAGCTCCTCCAGCTCCTGTGCATGTTGTTCTCCTAGAGTTTGTTCCATTTCTTCGAGTTTTTCCCGGAACTCTTCCATAAGTTCATTTCGCAATGCGTTCAATTCACTCTGGTGTTTTTCATCTGCAACAGTTAGGTTTTGCTGTAATTCGTTATCCAAACCTTCCTGATGTTTTCCACTGATTTCCTGTAATTCTTTTTCCCGTTTCTGTTCAAACTGGTCTGCCTGTTGGGACAGTTTTTCGCTCAATTCGTATTCCTGCTTCTCCTTGAGTTCATCCATGTCTTTCTCAAGCTACGAGAAAGTGACAACAAAGAAGAGAATTCAAACTTTTAATCACAATAATTAACAACTATTCACCGAAGTGGAGGTGGTTAGTGGTGGATATTTACCGAGCCGCGAAGCGGCGAGGTAAATATCCACTGCTAACCACTGACACTGAGGTAAATAGTTGTTTTAGTATATACTAAAACATTGAGATAATATACACCACCAAAAATTGATTTGAGTGATTTCTTCGCTTGTCATGGATACAAACCGGGACGCCATTTTTTCCCGAGTTGCTCGGAGGTAAATAGCAAATGATATTCGGAGTTTGACTAGCCAATCAGAGCGCACCTTCAACGCTATCCACTGTTTTAGTATATACTAATTCTTATTAAAACGACTTGTTAAATTCTCTTGTGGGTTTTTTTCTCATAGGTTTAGAGAGGTCCTGGTAACGCTAGATTAAGCTGAGTGATTCTAATATATGCACTTAACCAATACCTGGACGAGACAACGCAACCAGGGCTCAACACTAACGGTAGCCAACTAGCCACAGACTAGTAGAAATTCAGTTTTGGCTGGTAAAACAAACTGAAATTGTCGTAACATCTGAGTTGTCACTAGCCACTTGGATAGCAAGTTGAAAAGTTAGTGTCAAGCCCTGCCAACACAAGGGATGTAGGAGTGAATAAAACCCCAAGTTAGGAGAGTTTTGATAGAAATAAGCAAAACAGAGCTATGACATTTCGAAGCCATGTAGACTCTATCACCTAATAAAAATTCACTTACAGTCTCTTCAGAAAGAAGTGCAAATAAAGGTTTTTGTGTGAAGGTGTAGTCTGATCGTCCGGGTGAGAGTAGTCCTGAGAAGGACTGTTGTCGGTGGTAGTGACTGACGTTTCGACAACCTATGCGGAAGTCATCATCAGAGTCAAGTGACTCTGATGATGAGTGAGTCAAGTGACTCACTTGAGTCAAGTGAGTCAAGTGACTTACTTGACTCTGATGATGACTTCCGCACAGGTTGTCGAAACGTCAGTCACTACCACCGACAACAGTCCTTCTCAGGACTACACTCACCCGGACGATCAGACTACACCTTCTCATGTTACCCCCGGGTTCAAACCATTTACTGAAAGGTTTTTGTATCAACAATTCGAAAACACAATTGTCAGTTCTTCTAAACAACAGACTTATGAAAGTTTTGAAACGAAGTCGTAGTTTTGTTCTGTTAATCTTATAACTAAATACTCAGGCGCTCCGTTTCAGACCTTAGTTTAAAATTCGGGGTCATTGGTGTTCAGTAGCCAGTAAGCACCTGTGTGAATCCAGGCTGTTCATATCTGGGCTACAAGAACTAATTGAAAAGCATGTGAAAACACTGTGTGGAAGGGATGACCTTTTCACTCGCTTTAAACGTGCCTTTCACAAGGCAAATTTCGCATGTTTTAAAAAAATTATGGGTGAAAATCGAACAAAGTAAGGGCCTAGAGTTTACCATTATGAGTACACGTGAGTACACGCTGTCATGCGCCCAAATGTCAAACCAAGTCTCTATTATCACGAAAAAAAAAAAAAAAGAAGAGAAGAAATATTCAGGCTGAATTCATCACTCACTTGTGTTATCTTTTCATTCATTGCATCTAGTTCACACACGTGTTTTATTTTCATTTCGTCTAATTTTTGTTGCCAATCATGCTCAGTCTCCAGACGGGCAGTCTCGACCTTGATAGCAGTCTCGGCCAGGAAACTGGCAGTGAGTTCATTCAACTCGTCGTGATGTGAAGTTTCCAGGTGTAACTGAACAGCGCCCACGACCTCTTGGTGCCGCTGGTCAAGATCTTTACGATGAAAAGAAAAACAAAACTGATTGCTAATTCGCCGCTTTAGCTGCTACACATTTCCTTGTCTGCTACACATTTCCTTGTAAATTGGTTACGAGAATATGCTGTGAGATCAAGATGACAACTTTTACCTGATGACTTTGAGTAATCTCGTTACCTAGTTTGCTGGATAATGTATGGACATTGTAGAGAGAAGTTACATATTAATCACTCTTAAAGGGTTTACTAAATGCGCACCGTCACGCTATTTTAAGCGCAATTTTACCGTCAGTCTGAGGATGATCAACCCTTAACTCTTTACACCCTATTAATCAGCATTCATATTCTCCATTCTGTTCTCTTTCCAATTCCTATGACTCTGACAAGGAGAATTTGTGTTACAATCAGAAGCTTCTTAAATTGGTGATCATTTCCTTTATTCGCATGACCTTTACAATGAGTTTTTGGGGATGCCAGCTTTCTTTTTGTCCCGCCCTCGTTGAAACACGATTTTAAAAGTCTATCTCTATTCGACATGGGGCTAAAACTTTACTATCTTTCTTGAGCTAAGAACGCCACGTTCATCCACCAGTCAGAGAGTTTGTCCATTCAGTTGACTCTTCTGATTGTAATGTTTTCGCGACGTCCGAGATTGCGGGGTCTTCGCTCATTTCTCTCTCCCAAGATAAACACAAATTTTCCATTTTCCTACCTTCCTTAAGCCCTTCCATTTGCTGCTGATGAACATCGTCAATTTCCAACATGTCCTTCGAGTGTTGCCTCTCCAGCACGTTCTTCATCGTTCCAACTTGTTGAAGACGCTGCGATTCCAGTTCGTTCTTGAGCTCCCAAAGTTTTTGCTCAAACTCAGAATTCATCCGTGTTATCTGAAGAAACAGAAAGAAACACAGAAAGAAACCCGAGTTAGACCGAAAGCATGGACGACGCTATCTTTGTTTACCGACAGGGTAAAAAAAGAACATCAGACAGGAACTATTGTTGTATGTTTGTTTAAGCACGGTGTTCACAACCTCAGCAATTATTCATCCCAAATAGAAAACAATACAACTGGAAAATTGTAAATCAACAACTCATATAAAGATGTTAAAACTAAATTAAAGATAAAAGGGTTGTGTTTTTCCGTCATTTAATCGAAAAGATACCTATTTTGCAAGTCACAACTTCCAGTCGACCTTACTCACATTCGCTTTGACGACACGCCAGCTTTAGAAATTCTTGACGGTGTCCAATTTACATTATCAATTCAGTTGATAAAACCAAATGATCGTACTCTAATTGGCCCCAATGGGGTGTTTTTAACAATTTAAAAGCCTTGACTTAAACGGGTCATGTGGAGAATACAAGGCTATCCGAATTTTGGACAGTTACTTGCATCTTCGTTACTAAATTCTTCATAAAAGTATTGTATGAACATCTCTGTCGTCGTCTCTTCTTTCGAGGATAAACAGATATCCAATCCAATTTCTATCTTGCAAAAAGCAATGGACTTCAAGACAAGCAAGAACTTGTATTCAGAATGAAATTTTTTTTTCCGAAAGAAACTGGACTGACAGAAGTCCACCACCCTGAGGTGTGATCCATAAATCTTGAAAATACCATAAAAAAAAAAAATTTGACTTCGCTCTAAAAAAATCGATTACTGCGCTAGCGCACTAAAACTAACGATTATCCCTTGGACTCTTAACAGTGATCAGCATCTAGTTTCTCCTTACAATATCACCCCTGAATCACACTCAGTAAGGTCAGGAGAAGAAAGGAAAAGATCACCAACTAAAGAGGCTCTTGACTGTTTAACAAATTCTCCCTGTCAACACCTTAGGAAATGAGTACAGTGTGATAAATATGCATACTGACGTTAGGCTGAAAAAGGTGAAAAGAATGTCAGGCCTGTAGCTAGATTTCAGAACAAGACGAGGCAAGTTTCGAGCGCCGAAGACGCGAGCCGCTAGAGGGGTCTGGGGGCATGCCCCCCAAAAAACTTTGAAATCTAGGGTTTACAAATGCTCTTTTAAGGATTTTCCGTGGCATTTTTCTTCAGAAAGTCAATCTTTAAGAAAAAAATMAAAAAAAGGCCAAAATTAAGACGAGGCAATTGCCTCGTCTTGCCTCATGCTAGCTACGGCCCTGAATGTTTTGGAAACAATATTTCTCCATGCTTCACTGCTCTGTTGTTAATTCTTCTGCAGGCTGACATGTTTGCCATATCTGTTGTAATTTGAGCACCGCTTAAAAAGGGCTGAATAAATTCATCACGTTCGAAACTTGGTCTCGTTTAAAATCTGCCCCTTCTTTACTTAGAGCACTAATTTCGCAAAAAAAATTTTCGAAGAAATTTCCTTTCTTTTCTTGCGGGACATACCAAAGATTGTCTTAGAATAAAGTCCTGTTTGCAAGACCAGAAAAGGGTAAATATGAGGTAAGAAGTTGGTTCTGCCTGACAGTAAAATTAATCAATTTTAAAAAATTATCACTTTCTTATTGCAACACTGTGTCAATAAGGAACCCCGAACGTGACCAAGGAGCTTAAAGTTGTTTTCCTGGTGATACTATTTCTCGTTATTTCGATGACATATCAGCAGAATATTCTGATCTTGTATTCGATGATATCTCAAGCCTAAGGTTTCAGTTACAGCCCCCGCTTTGGGTTGATGATCTCCGACGCGAAGGGGTCCCGCTTTCTAACAAAATGGATCACCGTATAAAAAAAATGTAAATAAATAACATGTCTGCAGGAATCGAGAAAAAAAAAAAAACACATCTTAAGCAAGTCAACGGTAAACCGCAATTAACTATGAAGATTTGTAACTTAAATTTTTCTTCTTCAAAAGAATAATCAGAGTGATGAATTTTAGAAAACGTTCTCAGGGAACATATGAATGCAATAGCTACCCATCTCTGTAAAAAAAAAAAAAAAAAAAAAAAACTTTTTCCGTCCCTGTGTCTACCTGCGTATGCGCAGTAGACACAAAAAATGTGGCGAGCGAAGCAAGGACATCAAGAACAGTATTTTAAAGGGATGGTACTACATGACCGATTCGACGGCATACAAAGCTGGGAAGAAGCATTATACACATGCACTGAAGTCTTCTACGTGACTATTACACTACATACTCTTACGATACACCTGCCGAAACTGAGTGTCACTTCCACTTGTTAATTGGACCAACCTCCTTCTCAATTTGAATTGCTTTGTATATATTTTTGGACGCTAAGTTTCGACCGAAAGCCACAATAATGGTCCTCAATATGACATGAAAAGGACAAAGGAAACAAAGAGAACAAACACAAATAGCTGCGGACAATGTAAACAACGAACAGTCACACAAGCAATTACAGCTTAACAATGGCTCGCCGTTAATCGAAAGCCAGTTCGAATCACTTTCACGCGCTAGTAAGCATGTTCAAGGCAACAGATTAACACTGGAATAAATATTCGAAAGTAGTCATTAATAAAAGATGATTATTCAATGCACACCCTCGATTTCTTAAGCGAAATTATTGATATTTGCTCATATAGACGAGGGAGAACGATAAAATACCACTCGCTTATGTTGTTACGTGTACTGCAGCGATCGAGGATCGCAATTGGTCGAACGCTCTCATTTTTCAACTGTGGATAAAATGTTTCATGGTAACCTGGTGGGAGAAAAACGCGCAAAAAAAATCTTGATCGCAAAGAAATAAAAAATGCACGTTCATCTGTATGCAAAGTGAAGTAATAACCAATAACTTAACTATGTGTGTTAGGTTACATGACAAAAATTAGTTTAATTTTTTCGAAACATGCATTTCTAATTTTTTCGGCCCATCGCAAAGCGAAAACAAATCTACAAAATGAAAATTTTTAGCACATCTACAAATATTCCAACAAAACTTACATGTCAAAAGATCGGAATGAAAGAGCTTTCACATTAACATCGTAAATGAAATATACTATACTGTTTACGTGACCATTACCAGGTATATTTCAGGTTTAGCGCGAAGTTTATCCACAAGGAGTAAAACACAATGTTTGTGTCGGTCAAAAACCAATGCAACGGTACGTCGCTGAAATTATCGCCTTTTCAGTTAATTGCTGTTTTGGCGCACTTGATGTTTCGATGGCCAAGAACCAATAGGGCTATGATGTGGTGAGACTGGGCGATGGAAATTAAAGATTTAAAACTTTTCATTTTCTGATGGGTTTGTTTACTTGCGGAAAAGCTATGGAAAACGAGTGTCTTCTTTCACACAAGAAGAAAACAAAGAAAACTTCCGAAGAAGAAACAAGCTTCTTCGACATTTTCAATTTGGCGTAAAAAACAAATTAAAATAATAAAAATAAACGAAAAGGAAGGCGAAGAAGCAAAACATTGCTGAAAGGGCGTCTGTAAATAAATGGTGTGACACGAAACGACGAGTAACGGACGGGTCACTATTTTGGCCGAATAAATCGTGTCAACCAATCACAAAATTCGTTACATAATTAAAAACAGGTGGGTAACCAGCGATGTACGTTCTCTCGACAATTTGGATTGGTTGGCCGGGAAACGAGTCGAAAAGTAATAAATTCACATTCGCTACGGACAAAATAAGAGATACGAACTCATTCGGTTCTACCTTGAGGCAATTCTCTCGTTGCTTAACTGACTTGCGATTCCTTCAGGTAGAAAGTAATCTCGAAACTCTCCATAAATGCGGAATAAATATTACATTAAGAAGAAAGAGCAAATTCTAACGTTCAATCTTGTTGAGATTAGTGATATTCTGTAGTAATCGTTAGAAAAACGAGTAAATTTAGAGTCAAGTGATAAGTCCAAAATGCAAAGTATTGTATTAACGATTCGCTCGTGTGTAACACAAAAAAAAATATATTAAGCACGAGTAATATCACTAACAACATCGGTTACTAAACTGAATTACGTCTATATTAACATAAACTATCACAATAAAAATAAAACGCTAGGAGTAGAAACCTTTTCCGTCGAGGCTTACAAAAAGAAAAAAACCCGAAAATTTCTTACCTTAAAACAGTCTCGCTCTAGTAGCGAATTGACGAGCCAAAGCGACAGATCGCACCATTCCATATGTAAACTTCACCCGAGTCACCGGAGTCAAGAACAGATCGCTTGCGAATGACAAAAATTACGCACAGCACATTCAGATGAGTATTCGGATCGATCAAAAAAGTAATTGGTCCGCCGTTTCATTAGAAAAATAAAAAGTTCGTTCTACCGCTGTAAGCTGGTTCTAGCTTTCTTCCGGCGTCAGTCGCGTCGGGAGTTTTCTTCGCAACACAACAGGACATGGCGTAAAGCTTCGACTCAAGACGTGTCGGCTTTCAGCGGATATTAATGTTTGGCCTGGCCGGTGGATATTGTCATCAATATTTGCCTGGGAGTTTGGTTTTTGACTCCCACAAAGCGGTTACGTATATCCAGGCAACCGGTGCCCTCGGAGTAACGATGAAAAAGCCTGACCCTTTTGTTGTGAACGACAAAAAAAACCTTATTGTTTACACTTTGCAAAACAAAAACGTTTTTCAGCAAATAAGGTGTTTAAAATGAGAAGAGTTAATATTTTAGCTGGCGTTGGTAATTATTCACGACAATGTAGTCCGCTGCGAAACAATGCATATCGAGAATGGAACCGACAAAATTCATTTTAAATTTGAAAGTCACATTTCAAATTAATTCGCAAATTAAAGGTGTACGAAACTTTTAAAATGGGAAACTTCGGTGTTGCGAAAAGAACGCACGCCCAATTTTTCGACAGAAAATTGCTGTCACGCGAACCAATTCTTGAAAATAAACAAAAGCAGTTTTATTCTTAAAATTCAAAGAAATATTTTGTTTGTTTGTTTTTTAAGTCACAGACAAATCAAATCGCCAAAGTTATTTTCGTAGAATATTCAGGGATTCATTGGACATCGCCATGACAGCAATAATTCGCAAAAATCACGACAACAATTTTAACAAGTGTCCTAAGTCAGGCCTTCTAGACACTCAAGTTGGTGCGTTAAAAGGAGAGACGGTACTTTATTTAAGCCAATCTCACACCAACTACTTGAAAACATAACAGCCTTTTCTTATGCGACGAGGGGTAAAACGGAATGGTACTATTTACGGAGACCTCGCCATACTACTCTTTTCATCGCGAAAAACTTTTGTCTTTCATCTTCCACAATCCTCTTTTACTTAACCTTAAACGTGCGAGGGGAGCGCGCGAGAATGACCACTTCAGTTTGCGTTCGTTTGAGGAGAAACGTGCTCAATAAATCATCTATCTTTCCACCGCCATAAAAAGGTATATGTCACATTTACTGCTTGCAGTGTTAACAGATTTCAAAGAGTAATCTATCCATTGAAAAAAAGATGTGTTCAAATTTCTACAATTTCCACCGTAAACGCCGCCATTTTGAAAAACACTGAGTAGTCTGGCTGCCAGGAAATCCAAAAAAACGCTTTGCAGTTACGGTTAAACAAATGACGGAGAACTGAAAACATGCAATGGTGAAATTACAGAAAAACAGTGTTATCGCAGTCTGAGTGAAACCAGGGCAACGCCAGAAGCAAAGAAACTTTTCAGTCCTCTCTCCAGGAGATATTTCTTTATTAAAATTCACCGCCATTATAAAAAAATTCTTATTTTCTCTTTGATAGCAAATTATTTAAAAACATTAATATTTCTCGCTTGATCTCGCAATATTCGCTTATTCAAGATTAATTGTTTAAGAAAAGGTATCTTATATTGCTTTAAGTTATACAATGATTCAATTTACAAGACCAGGTATTCTCCTCTAAAATTCTTCATTTCCTATATGAAAATTCCAAAAATTCCTAAACCGAAACAACGCATCTATTTGTTTATAATTCTTTTACTACGTAAGGCACATACTTCTATTCTTTTTTGTCCGTGCAAAAATATTCAGCTTATATTATTCTGTATTTGAATACTCAACTCTGAATTTTAATTAACCATATTTGATAGTCTTTGCTATTCAATTCAAGCTGTCACCTGAGTCAACGAGGGCATCCATGCACGAAAGAAAATTTTAAGATTGGTTTTCTTTTCTCTTTCACGCGTCTTCACAGAAAACGATGCACGCGAATAGCGAACATGCTGATAACCTAAATGCCCTCGATTAAACAAAGTTTATTCAGAATATTTTTGAAAGCTTGGTAGGCACAAAAAATCGAGGAATATCTTGAGAAGCCAGCCGTCAAACGCGGGTGGTCACAAACGGCGGGAAAACTCAATAAACCAATCAGAAAAAAGAAGGCGGCTGCCCTAGTTCACTCAGACAAGACAAAGGAAACTCCACACATGTACATAATCTATCTTACACCGTTACAACAAACAATACGTTTTACTTATTAACACATTAATAGTTCTTTATGCGATAAACCCTTCCGCACCTCGAAACCTGGAAAATCTCATAGTTTTACAAGATTACCCACAGCTAGTCAGCAACAATTATAACATATCTGAAAATATTTGGTAACGCCGCTAGCGCGAGCGCGGTAATTTCACCACCAAAATACAAGCATTTACAGAGCAAACTTGGTAGCTGCCAAACTCCATTTTGGGGACTCCCAAAATCCATTTTGGGGACTCTGTTGGTTCTCTCTTTTTAACCAGACATAAAGCGATCGCAGTTTGTTTCCATGTAGTGCATACACCACCTGATTTCTATGACCCTTCCCTTTTCTCTAATTTCTATATAAACACTAGCAAAACTTTAAAGTAAACACAGACATAATTCTGTTATGAAAACGGAAGCAAAACAAACTCCTGGTAAATTAACGAAATCAGGAGACGTAAAACAAAAAAGCTTCTAAGATTAAAGATTACTTCAAAATACGTGACAAATATCAGTGGCAGATGTGATCCAGACTATGAGCTAAGAGGGGAAGGGGGACCGTTTTTTTATGTGTGTTTCATCACCTGCCGGCTATTTTTCCCTCTCCGTTTATTTTTTTTTTTACCCAAAATAAGGGGGAGGGGGTGCGTGTCCTTCCCCTAGATCCGCTACTGGAAACCATAGTTATGATGATACGGGTCAATGTCAGTATCTGAGCAACTGCGCACCATCCCCTCCCATAACTCTATAATAGTCAAGTTAGGGTTCATGTCTGGTTAAGGATGGAGTAGGTGCACAGTTGCCCAGAAACTGACATTCATCGGATATCACTATGATACTTAAAGCAGTTTTCACCACAACACCTGTTCCTGATGCAAGGCTTTAAGCTGACCAATCTCGCCGCCATAATGATCGTTCAAGCTAGCTTCCAGTCTCCTCAACTGCTGCTGGTAATCCTCGTCCAGATCGGTCCGCAGGCGTTGCATCGAGGCGGAGTACTGGTTTTCTAAGTCCGACTGGGTCTCTAATAGATTTCTGTTGTATTGTTCTCGGATGTATTCCTCTTTGGAGAGGAATTCCATCTCTTTCTGATGGAACTCGTGTTCCCACTCCTGTAGTTGTTGTTCTTTTTGTCTCATTTCCTCCTCGAGGCGTTCTTTCTCGTGTAACAGCAACTCTTCTTTATCGAGCAGTTTCGACTCAATCGCTTCCAGTTCAGCCTGCGAGAAATATACCTCTGACAGTAAAGCCTTTTTTTTTTTAATTTTTCTCTCAAGGCAATATTTTGAAGATCTAATAAGTGCTAGAGTCGTGTCGCAGTTTATCATATGGTACTTCATATAGTCCGAAAGAAAATAAGTAACAATTATTCCACAAGCGCTCGTTGGATATGAGATGATAGATAGCCAACGAGGCGCGTAGCGGGCTCAATCGTCGTCGTCGTGGTTGCTTAAGGTCTCTAGTAGCACGATTCAATCAGGAAAAAAGAACTTGAGCGCGGTTGCCAGAAATACCGATTCTTGAAAGCTTCTCCTTGATTTTTCCTGATACAGATAAAATCTTTCTTTCATTCAATTACCATCTTGAATGAAAACAGAACAGCTTTACGGTCCTGTTAAGTACCGCGACTTTTTGTTGAGGAACGGGCCTCAGACCGGTCGCTTTGATTTTGTTTATTAAGGTGGAAGTCAAAAGGAAGTATGTAATCCTGTGGGTCCAACAACGGACATGAGGAACCTACACTGATTAGGTTACTAAACATTCCGCTCATTTACCTTAAACTATCCTCTAAAGCGTTCTTCTCCTCCAAAACGTCCACAAAAGAGTTGCGGTCCTTCTTTTGTTGTTCAAGCTGCTGTAACAGCGAATCTCTTTGACTCTGCAGCACCAGTAACTGACGACCGAACGCGTCCTGCACATCATCGGAGACTGAGTCCGAGGTCGAGATCCTGTCACGCAACTCCTGCGTGGCAAGAATAGAAATAAAAAAATTTAACTTGACAGAGTGCGAAGCAAAGAAGGTAACCTCAATTCTCTCAAAATACCCATTCACAACATCGTGAAAAGGAAGGATGCAAAAGATCCGCTAAAGGTAATTTTCGGGTAAAAGGGGTACTAAATGTATCTAAGTGAGAAAGTCCAGACTTCAACCATACCGTCGTTTTCATTTTCCATACTCGAACTCCTCCATTCGCTCTTACAAAACGTTTTGGACGAGAAGATTAACATACATAGAACTATCGAAGGAAGATTTCACTCAACTATGTACCTCACTCAACTTGTTGCATGTTAGAAAAACACAGGAGACTTTTTAAAAAATTCCGATAAATTTTCAGGTCTCTAAAATAATTTCAATAATTTGTTATTTATCCTACATACCCCACCCCACCAATACCCAATGCATGGTAAGAGAAGAAATATTTACCTCAATAACTTGCTCGTGTTGTTGGAGTCTGTCCGTTAGCTCTCCCCTCTCCTTGACCAGTTCGGCGTCTTTCTCCTTGATCACATTCAGCAGTTTGTTTTTCTCTTCTCTCAGTTCACCTTCCACCCGTATTCTCTCCTGAAGTCTCTCCTGTAACAAGTTCAGCTCCTGAACGGTCTCGTCGTTCTCTCTGTCCACCGCTGTCAATTGCTGTTCAAGCTGTCTTTTGCTGAGTTCCAGCGCGCGTTCACGGGTTTCTCTCTCCTGCACCTCAACTCTGTAATTTTCTCTTTCCTTCTCGAGTTCTTTCTTAGTCTCCTGCAGTTGTTGGCTTAGTTTTACTTCGACCATGTTTTTCTGTCGGACCATCTCTTGCATCTGGTTGAGTTTTGTAGTTAGATCAGACTGCTTCGAGACAGAACCTTACAAAAGAAAAAAAGGACACAAAAGAAGAGAAAATGATTATGGGCTTCATGTCTCAGGCATCAACTTAAATTCTTGGTTAATCTTTTTTGGCAATTCGCTTCAATCTTTACTAAGGACGATTGAATTCAAAATTTAAAAGCACACACAACCCACAATTCCTCTATTCGCTCCGACGAAGAGCTAACGCTCGAGACGTCAGCTTTTGTAATCGTTACGGTGGCCAATTTACCATTTCAACTTTGTTGATATATTCAAATGAATTCAAAATCGCAACATTTCTAGATATAAAAAAAAATTAATTAATTAATTAAGAGGAGTTTTACCCTTAAAGCTACTCTGAAGACGAACGAGGGTCTTTTTGAAAAGAAACACGCGTGGGTCTCGCGCATTTTACGTGCTTTGAACTAACGCCGCTGGACTTTTTTTAACACATATATATTTTGTTAAATTTTTACCTTGTATAATGTTTTCTCCGCAGCACATTGATTTTCAAAATTAACCAGAAGTTGGTTGTGGTTAGATTAACAATCGAAGTAAATTTGGAACAGATTAGCTTTCGAATAATACCTCTTATTCGGGGCATCAAAGAAAATAATAAAATAAAAAAAAATCTCCATACCTTCGTTAAAGCCAGCACCAGGTAAAACTTCTAGAGTATCAACGGATTCTTGTACAAACAGTGGTTCCTCTTGCACAACCTGACGGCTGGAGACTGGGCCGAGGCTTGGTTCCAAATGGGCCGTCATCTGTTCTAGCACCCTGTGAGTCTCCGTCAGCACCTGAATCTCGCTCAGAAGCCTGTCCCTCTCGCTATTTACCTCAGAAATCTCCTGGTCCTTGTTAGCCAACTTGTTTCTTAATCGCATGTTCTCCTCTTCCTCCTTTGCAATTTTATACAACAACGCTTCCTGTGCGGAAGCGATCCTTTCTTCGCTCTCTTGTAAGAGTTGTTTCTTCAGCCGTGAGAGCTCTCTCTCCTTCTCCTGCTTCAGCTGCGCGGAAATCACCAGCGGGTCATCTTCTTCTCCAAATGCCGGACGTCCTTCACCAGTGTCTGACAACTGCTGCTCGTAGTAACTCCTTACATCTGCCACTTCTTGCTGATGCTTCTCCAAGACATTCTCAAGCACCTCCATAAATTCTTTTTCTTTGCTGCTGACGGCTTCGATTGCCTCTTTTTCCAGTCTTTCCCTATCACTCTGCGCTTGTTCTTTCAACGTTTGTATCTGGGCTTCGTAATCGTCCTTCAGTCGCACCACCTCCTCATTCTGTCCCTCTGAATCTCCGCTTTTTTGTTCATCACGAAAACTTCTAATTTTTGTCTCCAAAGCTCCTTTCTCCTCAGACAACGTCTTGACTTTTCTCTCCAGTTCTTTCGTTGCCTCGAGGTGTTCAGCCTGAAGTGTTTTCATTTCGCTCTTGTGTTTCGTCTGAGCTCCCGATTGTAACTCTCGCATCTGTTCCTCTAAATTGCTGGTGTACTGAGAAAGATTCTCTCTGAAAACCTCCATTTCCTGCCCGTGCGTCGCTTGCAGGGTTTCGTTTTCCGATTCTAAGTCCTTCACTCGCTGCACTAGATCCTGAATCGCCTTCTTGTATTGCACTTCAAGGTGAGCTTTCGTTTCGGCAAGCTTTTGCTCGTACTTCGCAGATTCATTGCCCAGCTCTAACACCAACTGTTTCTCTAGCTCGGCTGTTTGTTCCTGTTGTTTCTGCATAGTTTGTTCGTACTGTGCAACATCACTGCTGTGTTCTTCTTCAAAACTCGACAAGTTGTCTTCTAGTTCGGCGATTTCCTTTTGTCTCTTCTTTAACTCGTTCTTCAGCTCGTTAATTTCTCTTGCACTTGAAGTCTTCGTGTCTTTTAATTGCTCTTTCAGATCCTCTACAACAGCATCTTTCTGAGCAACGACATCTCTCGCCTGAGCTAATTCATTCTCAATATCTTCCCTCATCTTTCCCATACGCTGTTCCAGGTCATTATTCAACGCGACCTGTTTGTCTAAAGTTTCTTTCAGCACCGTCACCTCCCTTTCATGGATTTGTTTCAACTTCTCAATCTGTTCCTGCCTGGCTTTGTCCCCCTCAAGTCCTGATTCCTCCAGTTGCTCACTCATCGATAGTTTCAGATTCTCCAACTCAGCGACGTGTTTAGAACTTAGAGCCTGTAGCTCTTCTTGGTGCTCTTCTGTGAGTTTGTCTATTTCATTGGCATTCACCTTTTGAACCTCACGAAGCTTTTCCTCCAAATGGTGCAAATTACTCTTATGTTCTTCTGCTTCACTTTTAAAATTTCCTACATCGGCGTTTAGCTGATCAATCGTTCTATTCTTTACCAGTAGCTCCTCATTAACTTGATGAAGCGTTCTATTTTTCTCTTGAATTTCTTCGTTCATACGATCAAGTCTTCTATTCTTGTCCTGCAGCTCTTCACTTGTCTGATCAAGAGTTCTAATTTTCTCCTTTAACTCCTCGTTTATCTGATCTATAGTAGCCTTGTAGTGTTCCTCGTCTTTCTCCTTTAGACTGTACATTTCAATGATTAAATTGTCCTTCTCCGATACTTCGTTCTGGAGATCTTGTATCAGTGATTTGGTGTCTTGTAGTTCTTTGGAAGCCTTATCCATTTCTGACTGTTGGGTTTTAAGGCTGCTGTCGCTCTAGGAAGTTGAAAAACAAAAAGCTAAATGTTAAACACGAGAAAGCATCTCAAAGAAAGACAGCCCTGTGGCGTAAAACTTGTTCTACTGACTATTGTTCTCGATACAGGAAGAAGTTGTCAAAGAAAGTAATTTATTTCGAGCTCAAAACATAATAAAACCAAGATGGCCGATGCAGGAAAAAAGAGTACCGAAGCCCGCGGTCCCCAGCGGCAAAACCACAACAGGGCGGGTAAAAGAGTGATATTTGAACAAATCCTTCTTTAACAATTATCTCTCAGCACCAGCGTTGATTCACTGTTATTTAAGTTCATACTACAAAAAAGGCCTTTAAAAAATATGAAAAAAGAAACTTCCCCAAACTGTTGGTCGAATTTCTTAGCCCTTCAAAATGCTTTACCAACCTCTATTAGTTGCTCCTGAAGCATCTTAATCTGTTCAGTTAAGTCCTTAGTTTGCAGCGCAGCGTCTTGTTTTGCGTTTATCTGCTCACTTTCACCCTCTGAAAGCTTAGTCAGCAACTCTCTCACAGTCTCGTCTTTTCTTTCCATGGCCTCTTGGAGCTCTAACAACTGGTCCTGGGATCCACTCAGACGTTCAGCAAGTTGTTCAGATTGAGTTCTGTAAGTGGAAACCTTCAAACAAAAAGATTTAAGGTTAAACGTTTTTCCATTGGGGGCTTAACCCTTTACAGTCTAACATCGGTATACATATTCTCCAAACTGTTCTCTGTGCATTTCCTAAGGTGCTTATATGGAGAAATAGTTGGTTGATATTAGTTGGTTATCAATCTTTAGGGGCTGAAGGTCAATAACCCAACGGGTAATAAACGCTATGAAAAGAAAAACTACAAAATACTTGCATCGACCCGCTTACTCCCGAAAGTGACCTGGAAGCTATTTCTCCCCAGTAAATTGAGTCATTTGTTAGCAGACGGGAAGAGAGCATTGATAAAAAAAAATCAACTAAAGGACATGCTGAAATACCACTTACATCATAAAAAGAACTCCATAAGAGGAAGTAAGGATGCACCCTAACCTGCACTGTAAAGAGAGCTGTTTCTTACCAAATCAAGAACTTCTACACACTTAGACATACTTACGTCACTTTCAAGCTGTTGAACTTGAGACTTCATCTGTTCATTGCTCTTCCTCAAATCCTCAAGTTCCTCGTCCTTCTCAGCAAATTGGTTCATCAGCTGAATCAGTTTCTCATCCCTCTCTGCTATCACCGTATCCAACTCATTCTGCTTGTTCAGGAGCTGCTCTGACAATCCATCTAAGCTTGTCTTACTCTCTGTCAGTTGCTCTTGTACTGTTTGATAATCTTTGCTAAGTTGTTCAACAGTCTGTTGCTTGATTTTCAAGTTTTCCTTCAAATTTTCCAACAATGATGACTCAGAATGCGAGTTATCCTCGAGTGTTTCCACCTCACCTTGGAGCCTGCTGATTTCCTGTTCAAGTTCAGCACACCTGGCCTTGCTTCTCTCAAATTCATTACGCAGTTCTTCAAACTGACTCAACTCTTCTTTCTTAGATTCTAATTCTTTTGAAAGATCATCCACTTTAGCTTTCACATCTTGCACATCATTATCTCCTCTTTGCAACTCCTCTATCTTAGCTCGCAGTTCCTCATTTTCATCGCTGAGTTGCCGAACTGTTTCTTGTTTCAGTTTGACGTTTTCTCTCAAGTTTTCCATCTGAGATGATTCAGAAAGTGAGTTGTCTTCTGCCAAGACAAGCTGGTGTTTCAAATATGAAACTTGCTGCTCAAGCTCTTTGTTTGCCTCTTGACTCTTCTCAAACTCTAGCTGAAGAGGCTGTAGTTTTGCAAGCTTTTCATCCTTTACTTTTGACTCCTCACTTAACTCTTGGAGTTTCTGGTAGCTTTCTTCAAGAAGTCCTCTAACATCTGATGTCCCTAGGTCACGCAATCTCTCCTTCAGTTCTTCGTTCTCTTTGTTAAGCTGTTCCATAGTTTCTTGTTTAAGTCGCAGGTTCTCTCTGAGGTTTTCCACTTCAGATTTCTCCTCAATAGATTGATCTTCCACTCTTAAATTTTCTAACTGAGCTTCAAGTGCAGACACTTGCCTTCTACTCTCTTCAAGTTCATTTTGGACGTTTTGTAAGCTTCCAAGTCTCTCCTCAAGTTGTGACTTCAAGTGTTGCAAGTTTCCAATCTCACTCTCTTTCTCCCACAACATTTTAGAAAGTTCATCCACTTTGTGAGAACTTTCTTGTACCTTTCCACTGGCACCTTCGTCTGATGATTTCAATCTTGCAGCAAGTTCACTGTATTCTTGCTGAAGTTTCACTAACACTTCATCTTTGGATCTTAAAGTCTCTTTCAAGTTTTCCAACTCTGAAAAGTCTGTTTGCATATCACCCCCTAGAGACATCTGTTTCTTTAACCTTGTATTTTCATCCTCAAGAAGCTTATTTCTCTCATTCAATCCATCCAAAGTCATTTGCTGGGCATTCATTTTTACCTTCAACTCTTCAAGCTGTCCCCCATCAGGCTTTGCTTCCCCCTGTTCACCTTGTTCAAGTTTGGCACGTAGATCTTGATTTTCTTTGTTTATGTCTTGAAGAATGGACTGCTTCATCTGCAAACTTTCTCTCATTTCTTCTACTTGTCTGCTGAGGTCCTTGATTACTGACCCTCCTGACTGATCTTGCAACATTAACTCTAGTCTTCCCTTCAACTCAGCATTTTCACGACTGATCTGCTTCAGTGCTGCCTTTTTAGCTGTAAGCTCTTCTTCCAATTCTTGTGCCTTGTTCTTCAATTCATTTCTTTCAATATTAGCAATGTCATAACTGTCTAGACCACCTTCCTACACAAGGAGAGAAAAGGCAATACGAGCAATGCAAACACGTCAACTACAAAAGAATCACATGCTTGCACTGAGCTATGCAACTGCATGATGCAGAAACCAGTACTACTACATTGCAGAGATTGTAGTAAGGTAATGAAAGCTTTCAAAAGATAGGTTCTGTCATAGTTTGTTTGCACCTACAATTTAACAAATGGTAAACACTACAGTGTACACTATTGAGTTATGGATACATGTAGGAGGTTGCTAAGCACAAAAGAAGCATAAGAGTCATGCGAGGCAATAGCTGAGAGTAACTCTAGCTTCCTGAGTGCTTAGCAAACCTCCCAAGTGCATCATTTACTCAATAGTGTACACTGGGGTGATTACCATTTGTTTTACAATATAACATTGATACATTGTAGCAAAAGAGTTCCGTTTTATTTAACACTGAAATCTTAAGTGACTAAAAAAACAAGCGCATAGAAACTAGTCTTTGCATTTGCTCATGTCATCAGTGTTCACTCATGGGTAAATGGTGGACACTAAATTAACCAATCAGAGCACGCTATTTAAGTTGGTTTATACAGTGCGTTTATACAACAGTTTTAAAATTGGATGTCAATAGTAATCACGGATTCTTTTTGTCTTGCTTTACATGTACTTTGCCTCTTGATTGGTCAGAAACCTTGTACCCTTTTCTCAACTGATCAGATTCAAAACAAAAACCAATCACAGCTTGGTCATAGGCATTTTCCTCTTTACTTTGGTTTGTCAATGGCTGCTCTTGACTCTTTCCTTTCCTCTGATTGGCTGTTCTTGTAATTTTGGTTCGGGTTTCAGAACTCTTAATCTGAAAACAATCTCGCTGGAAAGTTTGTTGTTACTACAGGTTTTCAAACAGTTAAAACATGTTTCTGTGCCCAATGAAATTCAAAACTCTTTAAATCTGCATTTTAAAGGAAGCACTTGACTCAAAACAATTAAGAGCTTCCAAACTGATCAATGATATGTCACAAAAAAGTGGAAGAAAGAGCATTTTTAAGCCCATGGAAATATCAAAGGCTCCCTGAGTGCAACCACCAACAGCCCTTGAGAAATAAAGCATCTTTAACATGAAAGTGAACTCTATTCTACCTTACTTTAATGAGATCTGTGTAACCTTCAAAAATCAAACCAACCTCTTTCCTTAGAGCATTAATTCCAATGTCACACTAATGTTCACAATGAAGTGCAGAGGCAACACATTTACATAGCAAGTTGCTGTGACATGTTCATACCAAGAAATGAAAAGCCATTCTATGCTAAGGGCCACACCTTCTGTACCACAATAATAACCTCATTTTCATTCAACTTCTCAGGAGATCTACCCCAGAAATCTACCCGCTATATTTTACTTCTGTTTAATATGGTTGCTTCCTTTCCACAAGATTAACCCTTTAACTCTGAGGAGTGATTAACATGTAACTTCTCCCTATAATATCCCTACATTATCCAGCAAACAGGTAATGAGAATACTCAAACTTAACAGGTGGAAGTTGATGTCCTGATGCAACACCAAATTCTTCTTACTAACTTACATGGAAATGTATAGCAGGTAGAGGGGAGAATTTAAAATAAGATCTTGGGAGTTAAAGGGTTCATAAGCTTAATTGGGGTCCAATAAATTACAAAAAGGCCATGTAGTACAAATATAACATTTTCTTAACTACAGCTACTTTTTCACATTCTTAAAAAATTATGCAAAATGGGATGTCATGACAAAAACCAGTAGAAAAATTGAATACAAAGTTAGATTATTTCACTCTATATGATTATTCAGCATTCAAGCTTAACAACCTACAGATTATGTGCATGCTAGGTTTCAAGAGATTATTGTGCACATAGCAAGATGCTCTAGGCAGAATAATATTCCCAGACAATTTGTTGGATTAATTCAGTGCTTACTTAAAGCTGTCTACATTTACATCCCAATTACGAGGCCAAAATATGACAAAATGTCCTGTAAAGGTAAAATTTTAATCTACTAAGTTACGAAACAGCTGTGCACACTCATGCATTACAACAATAAGTTAAAATGCTTGAGGGATTTTATGGTGCATAGGTTCATATTGTTTTAGCAACAAAACTATTTAATGAAATTCACTGTAAACAAAGCTAAATGCAAATATTATGAGAGCCTGGGCAAAAATACATTGGTAGATCTGACTAAATGGATACACGTTTTGTCCGTTTTATAATGCACTAATTTTTCCCAAAATCAACATATTTCCAAGTCTGAACTAAACCTGGATAAGTAGTTTATTCCCCTAATCTACATACATAACTGGCCATAAAGTTAATAGTGCAAGTAAATAATTTCCGCAATATTGACTTCTCATAAGGACTATCAAAGAAAGAATGCAAATGGAAGGTGTCAATGACCACTTTGGTGAACTAATTATTTTTTTCTTCGAGATCACGATTAAATTTTTCCAAATGAAACATCATCTCAATGATTTTGCGTAAAATAGACGAGGAATCAAAATTGTAAATGACTCAGCACACCCTGCTGTTTCTGTACAAACATTTGTCTGACAAGATTATTAAAACGGCAGATTAAGGAAACTTGATATATATATATCATCGTTTACAACAAAGCCACAACACAACACAAGCAGCATGAACATACACAAAAAGCGAAATTTGTTTCCCCACCTCAGAATAATCTCCGCTAGTGTATTCGCTCCCGCTGATATAGCTTCCCGATTGCGAGTTTTGCTCTTGTTCCGCCTGGAAATGGGCAAAATATAACAAAGTTTGTTTTAATATTTAAGAGCATACAGCGTCGAAGGTCATTGACTACAAAAACCGCGTCTTCCGTTGTTACGCGTTGGCCCACGCACCATACATGAATCACAAATACTTTTCTGAACAATTTAACTTCGTAAGGAAAGCAAATTTGCGAAAAAGCAGACTTATGGAGCAACAAATAAACATCGAAAACAATATATTAGGATCTGCGGCTTCTGGTGTATTTTTTTAATATAGGTCTCACGAGTGTCACAATTATGTTTATGCCTGACCATGCGATCCTCTGATCTCAAATATCGGATTTCCAAAAACGGTAGATGCGTGTGCAACAACTCAAGGTTCAAAACTAAATAAAATCTATCATCTAAGTTCTAACTTTATAAAGGCATGGTTTGTGTAGATATTAATCAATTTTCTCACAAAAACTTAGAAAATATCTATCCAACTCAACGTGTCAATATCAACGCACACTTGCTACTTTCATGATCCATTTCCTCTCTGACTCTAATCAATCTATGAGAAATATCTCTTCCAACTTACGTCAAAAGGGATTGGAGAGCCCACTTCGGAAGCGATAGAAGGCGCATCTCTATCCGTGTCTGCTTGGCTTATTTCCTCCACTTCAACGTCTTCTCCTTCATTCTTGGGGACTTTTTCTTCGACAGCAACTGCAGCTTCAGGTTGTGCAGGCTTCGTGCCGCGGTCTTGCGAGGTGCTTCTTCTCCGTCTTCGCTCTCCAGGTGAAGGACTCCGCGCGGAACCACTGGTGGAAGACCTGTCTTTTTTCTTCTTTTTCTTCGTTCCTGTGCCTGATTTCTTCTTCTGGAACATCTTCAGCTGCAAATAAAAAACAACAAGGAAGGCTTAGAGAGCAGCTGAAATGCAAACTGGTACGGGTAGTTTATGAACTTCGCGCGCTCGGCCACGTCACACAGTTGAATTCTTACCTTCTCCTTTCCTGCCTCCAGTTTTTTCTGTCTTTCTGAATCGTCACTTTCCATGGCGAAGCAATCGAGAGTTTCTGTCTCTTTCACCAGGAGATTTTACGGAAATATCATTTACGCACGCTCCGATCCACTTTGATTTTCACAACCGCCATTTTGCAGCCTTGTTGTCAGCTCTTCGTAACATTGATCACGTGAGTTCCGCTTACGTTCGGCTACTTTCGAGACTAAACGAACTAAACGAAGTTTTGCGAGATACAGGGCTGAGAAAGAACTGGGAAACAATGACAATGCAAATCGCGAACCAAGTGCAGTGTGGGTAAATTGGTGGGGAAAAAAATCAATATGGCGACAGAGAATGAACTTGAACTAGCTGAAGAAATGGCAAATTCCTCGCCAGAACAAGCGATGGAATTACTTTCCTCTATTGGTGGGTTACGGCTATAGTATTCAAGGCTAACGTTATGTTTTTTTTCCGATGAATGGATTCAAACATTTCAATGAGTGGTAATTAAGTTCTTATGGATGGACTGTCTTGCAAATTATGTCTTTTAGTAAAGCGTGACTTTCGCACCGGAGACGAAGAGGGGATCAAAATGAAAGAACAAGCTATTCTAAATCTTGGAAATATGCTCTCAAAGCACGGAAAAGCAGAGGGTATGAAATCAACTTTTGTTCTTTTTTTCCTTCAAAATGAATGTTATAACTGACAATTCCTGAAAATTCCACTTAAGCTCTCAAATAAACATTTTAAAATAAGATCAAGACTTCTGCGTAGTACCAGTGATTTCAAAACCGTTAGTTTTGAAGGCCAGGAGGGCCTTCTTATCCTGGGGAGGCATGTTGCGTTTTGATGTCGGTTCAGTTGGGGTTCTCCGTTGTTCCTAGATGTCTACCAATAATTAATTTAAAAATGATTAGTTGTATGTTAAGAGTACAGTAACTTTTGTGTAGAGGTTACAACATTGTAATCAGTGCTAGGCAGCTGATATTGAAACCTCTAAGTACCACTCTAAGTAACTATCATCTGATTTGTTCATCAGAACTTGGAGGACTTATCAAGTATATTCGACCATTCCTGAAAATGGTATCAAAAGCAAAGGCCGCCAAGCTTGTTAGGAACCTTGTAGATTTGTTTCTTGACATGGAAGCATCAACCGGCATGGAGGTAAAAACGTTAGTTTACTACTGATTTAAAAAATGATTAAGATTCTACAACCACCCTGATTTGTCAAAAACTTATTGTTTATTGCCCTGAGAAGCCCATAGAAAATTTGATGTAATTTTATAAAAGTAAGAGATGGCACTTTCTATTGAAAAAAAAAAAAGGATAATAAATTACTTACCAAGGGCTAGTGATTTTCAAAATTTTCCTATGTTCTCCCAACATCCCATGATGTGGATTATTACACCACTAAACTGAAGGTAAGAGTGGTATTTTGCTCAAATATTATGTTTCCTCTGTATTATCATTTTGGGATAATGGTTTTGATTTGATTCAATTTCAATGTAAATTTAAGATTTATATAAATGATAGCTTTTCTTGGACTCTACTATGATTTAATGGTGAAAAGAAGTTTTGACATAATTTTGTATTCTCTTGTATCAGGTTGAGCTCTGCAATGAATGCATTGATTGGGCCAAAGAAGAAAAAAGAACGTTTTTACGACAGGCTCTCGAGGTTTGTGTTGTGAAATCTAAATAATTGCAATTTAGTGTCTGCTATACCTGTACCTGACTGTGAATCTCAGAAAACCTTGAGCAGCAAAAGTATTGGTGGAATTTTGCTACTTATGAACAAAAATTGGAAACAACAGGATGTGTCTGTCATTTTATCCTTTCTTAGAAATTCACTGATTAGTCTCAACTGCTCTTGATCTGGTTTTCAAGCCTCAAGTCTAAGTGTATAATAACAGCAGTGGGTTACTGGTGATGATTTTTAACTTGAGGCATTGTTGTAGTTAATTAATTCCAGTATATGTTTTGCCACTTTGATTAATGGTAGAAATAGTGTTCTTTTTTTGGTAGCATGTACTTACCCACTTGGTGTTATTTGTCATTTTAGGCAAAACTGGTTGGTTTGTATCTGGACACTAAAAACTATAGCAAAGCCTTACAATTAGGTGAGTATACTAGCACTAAGTGACTTTTTTCCATCTAAGTTATGCATGCCTCTTTTTAAGCTACAAATGGCTTGAACCTTGTATTGACTGGTGTTATAGTCTGATTGTGCAGTAGAGAGTAGTCATGAAAAAGACTGTTGTCATGAACCCTACTTCCAAGATCTGATTAGTAAGTCTCCTTACTGTCTGCCATACAATTCTTATGATGTAAGTCAGAGAATTTGGTATTGGATCAACTAACAATCCCCTGACTGATATCTTTATTTATTCTCATCACTTGTCTGCTTGATATTATATCGATATTGTAAGGAGAAATTATGTCCTGGTCACTCCTGGAGTTATAAAGGGTTAAAAGCAAGTGATATTTTGACAACCTGTGGTGAAGTCACCATTGGTGACAAGTGACTCAGTTCTTACTCTGATGATGACTCAGTTGACACTGATGGTGTCTTTTTCAGAGGGTATGAATAACATTGGTCATTACCACTGTCACTCAAACAATCTGATCACTTGATCAACTCTATAATTATAACAACAACAGACATCAGGTACTCAGTGGTGATGAGGTGGGGAGGTTTATAAAACGTGGTATTTTGCAAACTATGGCAGGAATGTTAGCTCTTTGAAAGGTTTTGTTGCCTACTTTCACCTACATCATTACAATGCTTTCAATAAGATTTAAAATAGGTGGCTACCTCGGTACAACACCCGCCGGAGAGCGACTTGATTGCGACTTAGCGTGGCGGATGCGACTTGAGCGCGGTGAAATATACCCAGCGACTCGCAACAGAATAGCCGCCGGAGCTCCGGCGGGTGCCAGGTCTTATTGAAAGCACTGCATTATCATTAAACAGGTTCGAAACTCTTAAAAGAGCTCAAGAAACTTGATGACAAAGCATTACTGGTTGAAGTCCAGTTGTTGGAGAGCAAGGTTTACCACAATCTTAGCAACATTCCTAAGTCAAGGTTAGATATTTTGGTGTGTTTGTTGCATTTTTTTTTTGTTTTTAGATATTTTCAAATGATATCCTTACAAAACTGCTTTCCCCTTTTATGCACTGAATGTGCTAATGAAATAAAGGACAACAATCCTGTAAAACAGAGTTTCCAGTAAAAAAAAAAAGTTTGTACTGATAAGCATGTAACTTTCACTCACTTATTTGCCGTAAATGATGCCTTACCAAGTATAAGATTAACTCAGTGTAGTAAGCCATTAAATGCTTATTATATACTAATTTGAATATATCAACAAAGTTGAAATGGTAAATTGGCCACCGTTACGATCATAAAAGCTGACATTTTGAGCGTTAGCCCTTCGTCGGAGTGATATTACATACTGTCTTCGACTTCCATTTATTTTATTAATTATTTTGTTACACAGATTAGCAAATAATTGAAATTACAAGAATGTATTTAATGATTATTATGTTTGTAAAGTTAAACAGGATTAACAGTGGTTGACTCATTTTTATCATGTATTCCTATAGGGCTGCTCTTACATCAGCAAGAACAACAGCTAATGGCATTTACTGCCCTCCCAAACTACAGGCATCACTGGACCTGCAATCGGGTACTTAGTACATTCTCATTTTACCTACTCCCACCAGTGTCCAGATTAAATTTTTATTATAAATATATTCAGCATTAGTTGAACTGCCCTTTTAACATGTTTCTTTTTGTCCCAGGTATTTTACATGCCGAAGAGAAGGACTTTAAGACTGCATACTCTTATTTTTACGAAGCATTTGAGGTATGGTAACGTATGTGACATATGCATGACTTTTGATGGAAAGCTGGGAAGAATATAAAAGTATAATTTAGTAAAGTGAATGAACAAAGATAACTTTAATTACCACCACTTTGACAAATCCATTTTTTCATCTTTCCATGTAAACTTTGTTTTGAACTATTTTCAAGAGAGACTATCTTCAATTATATCAGACAGTTGATTGCTCCTCTCTTACAATAGTGTCAACTGTAGTCTTGTTAATATTTGGTATAACATTGATCTCTTCTACATCTCATATCAAGCCCCAAGTCAATAACACATCAATCATTCAATTGTTTTTCCTTGGTTAGTGGTTTTCATATTAAAAAAGACCTTATAGACATGAAATCTTGAGTTTTAAAACTCTGGAAAGGTACAATGTACATGTATTAGGGAATTATTAGTTGATCCAATACCAAATTCTTAGAACTAATTTTCTAGGAATTGTAAATGAGGTAGCAAGGAGAATTACTAAGGATATCATTGGAGTGAAGGGGTTAAGAAAGTGACTCTTAGTTACAGTTGTGTTTAATCATCAGCATAGACTCATTCAAAACTTGCCACTTCAATTTCTTGGTGTAAAATCAGTGTAAGAAGTTGAAGTCAAGCACTTTCAGAATGTATGATGATTTGTGGTTTGTCCCTGAATAACAAAGTTTGCTTTTAAAACTGATGCTTGCTTTGATCCTAATTCTGTGCTATGGGTGGCTTTATTATAACCTAATAATTGACATCTTTGCAGCCAAGATATGTAAATTTTTGCAAACATTGCTAGGTTATTGTATAACTAATACTTGTTGTTAATGATGATTCGTGTTCTCATGTTTATTTTAGGGTTTTGACTCTATTGACAACCCGAAAGCAGTATCAGCACTAAAATACATGCTTCTGTGCAAGATTATGCTAAACAGGTTGGTTTTACAACTGGGAACTTAAAGCAAATGCATGTTTTTGTATTAACCTGGGTCAAAGTACAGGAAAAATATATTTGACCCAATTGCATTTGCTATCAATTCTGCATGGTTGAGTTAAGTAGATATGGCAGACTGCCCTAACCTTTCGCATATAGTGTAGCGTGATAACGAAAAATCAAGGATTCAGTTGCAATCCTCAATAAGAGATGGCTCAATTTTCCTTTGTTGATAGAAAGTCAGCCAGCAACTGTCATCTGACCAATGGCTTTATTTAACTGTCAGTGGGGAGGATTCCCCCTCCCCCCCCCCCCACCCTTATTATTTGTCATAAATTTTTCTCTC